AGAGCCGAAGGCTTCCTGACCTGTTGCGGGCTTTCTGGCCCCGTCCCCGCAAAACAGCTGCTCTCTTATTTTTCTGTAGTTAAAAAAGAAAAATTGAGTGAAAACTAAGAGTGGGCGTTGGCTGAGGGGCCACAGGGCTCCTGAGGGGTCCCACGGGTCTGCAAAGGCTGAGCGTGGCTGCTCTACGAAGTGCAATTCTAGCCTGCGGCCTGCTTGACATTGGACCAGTGCGGCTAACTGCGCGGCTCTGGGTCAGCATCGTACATAGACTCCCGGTGGGGCCGGGCAAACTTCTAGTAGCAGGCCCCCCTTCGCCGGACCTAATGATAATAATACTTGGACAATGGGAAAAAAATTACATTTTTGGGCCCCCTTTCTGTCCGGGCCCTGGGTGGCTGCCTGGTTGGCCCATGCCTGAGTCCAGGTCTGCTCTGGGTTATGCTCTACCAGCCAAAAGGCCTGCGTGTTGGTGTAGCCATGTCCATACTACCATTTCTGTCAATGTAACTGAGGCGGGGGCGGCTGGATTTTTCCTTCCCATAATCCTAACTGATTTAGCTATGCTGGAAAAATGACAGCCGGAGCCTGAAAGAGGCACAAATCACTAGCATCCTGGGCTTGGATGACTGATGCTGCAGTCCAACATCATTTCTATAAATGCCTTCTCACAGGAAAAATCCTGGAGCCAGACCCCACTGGCACAGAGTTATCAGCTCCTGCAGGTTTTCCTTCAACAATATGTGGATGCTCTCTAATCCTGCTTTTCTGTCCTGAGTCCCTTCCTCAGCCCCTCTCAAAGAGGCTGAGCACTAGTTATGTCATTGTGGCTGAAGAGAGTACACCCCTCCTCCTTTCCCCCCTTCCCTAGTAAGCAATAACTTTTGGGGCATGCTGTTATCAATGTTCCTGAACTGGGGTGTGCCCCGGCCCTTTCACTCTGCAGGACTGAATCATCTCCCACACCCAGAAAGAGCATTGCTTCATATGTTATGGATACAGCTGTAGTGTCACCTAATGATTTCCTGTTGGCTGTAGTCACGTTGTCTGTTCCTCTTTGCTCTCTGGGTGGTTCTGGAGGTTTGCTGGGATTGCAGTTGCAATTCTCCTTGCTTCCCATTTCAACATGATGCATCCTATTTCTGTCATTGAGCAAGATTTCTGCACTTATAGGAACAGTCCTTGGGTGTCTACAATTTCCCTGTCTGTACCTGGGCTGTTTTAATCACTAATCACTTGAACTTTGCATTGTTATACTGGTGTTTCTGGTGAAAGCTTTCACTGATCAGCTATTTCATTCGTAGTAAGATTTTTGCCTCCTTCCATTCTGTCCAGCTTTAGTTTAATTTGATAAGTTTTGCAATGTTGGTCATTAGAAGAAACTCTTTCACAGATATTATGGATCAGAGCCATCTGCTTGTTAATATCTATGGAGATAAAGTCCTTGATTTCATAAGCATAAAATAGCTGCTCTGTTAAAGTAAAGATAAGGTTCCTGAGCTGCTTTATTTGTTAAGGTTAGTCCCTGCTTGGCTATATGTACATATTTTTCATTTAGTTCATAATACTGCTGGGCATGTATGTGAAACCCTTGTTCTCTACAAATCTTCAAAATTCCTCAGCTGTGTATTATCCAAAATTAGCTCATAGCAAAGACCATTTCTGTTGAACATTACCTTGGTGTTATTTGGTATAGTGCTGGATAACGTGTGGCTTAATAGAGTTTCTTTGAAACTCAGAAGGATTGTTATCTAATGAACTATCAGCAGGTATTGCTTTCCGCAGTGTCTGTGAAATAGTTACCAACTGCTTCCCAGGTCTTTTTGATGGGGAGTATGACTGAAAAGAAGGTTCCCAGTTCAGGGGATAGCTTGTCTTTCTGAGGTGCGACTGAAACCAAACATTTTCAGAAGTGCCCACAAACTAGTAATTGTGAAAAAAAATATTTGGAAACTACCAAAACAGTGTTTCCACAATGATAGATGCTTCCTGGACCCTGACATTCAGGAAGAACGTAGAAACTGACATTCCTAAAAAAAATTTCAATGACATTAGTGACATTTCCCCACTCTTAGGAAGGAGGATCAAAAAGATGCTTGGGAAGTCGGTGGCCTTGTCTGAAAGGAAGGCAAGAGCTGTTGATGTCTGGTACTCCAGGGTGGAATACCACCAGGACTGCTTTGTGGACCTGGTGAATCAAGGCATTGTCCAGGCCAAGAAGAACACTAATAAGAGAGGAACTGTAGCTATCGTGAGGGAAATGATGGAGCTGCTGAATGAGAATTGTGAGAGGACAGTGGAGGAGTCAATTATTGGGTTCCTTTTCCACCAGTATCCTCAGTCATATCCAGGATTTCTTCCTCTTCTGGCAGATCACAGTCATTTGCTGAGAGTAGGCCACAGGACTCCATCACACACCTTGCCATGGCTTATCACATTGCCCAGCTGGGTAACCATGAAATAGTTGTGGACTCAGCACTGCATACATCACCAGGAGCTAGTGGCAGGGGGTGTCCACCACATACTGAAGTGGCATTGGTACTCTTGACCTAGTCATCCAGTCTGGCCTGTGATCAGCAGTCTGAGACCTCTGAGCACTTTTGGCCCAATGTTCAAGAAGGCACAAGGGTTTTTACCTAAGGTATGGGACAATGAGAAATCCAGGATGTTGCCTGCCTGCTGCTGACCCATTTCCCCCTCTGCAGGGAGTTAATGACCAGTATTCTTTACTTCATGGGTGTTAACAGTCACCTGTGAAGTAACAATTACTGTTAATAGGACTTCCTACTTCATAGACACCACCCTCCTGCCCCATGGCCAGATGCTCATTTTAATTTTTAACCAGCCAGCCGGGACCAGCCTCTGAAATCTGGGATTGTCCTGGCTAATCAAGGACGTATGGTCACAGTATTTTTACCCCACAACATATCAGGGAAGCAGAGTTGCAGGAAACACTGGGATACCACCACCACCTATGCATGTGCAAAGCTGGCATAGATAGATAGTAACTGCATGTCTGTTTCCTCCTGTTATGGCTCAATTGTGAACTGCTCCACAAACCACTTTGTCACAGGGCACCCGTGCCCTGCTCCTAAAGAGGGGAAACTGCCGGGGAAAGAGCCCTAGCAGGGAATATGGAGCCCAGCTGTGGGTTGCCAGGGCAACCAGGAGGTCAGCTGACTGAAAGGGTCAGGGCCTGGCTCCTATATAAATCACAGGCAGGAGGCCATAGGCAGTTCCCTGCTAGCAGCAAAAGAGGCAGGAGTTCCCTAAGGTAGGATGTGGGAAGAAGCCTGACTGCAGGCACAGCTTATGGCAGCTCTAAGATGTTTGAGCAATGTTGTTATAGCCAGGTGGCTTATGTTTAAGTTATAGCTAGGAGGCTTGAGTTTGTGTTGCTGTTTGTTACACCAGTGGTTTGGGTGAGGCTATTAGGGGTTGGAGGAGGCCTCATAGGGGACCCACAGCAGTGTGGGGACCCCAGTGCCAGTAAGGGTGCTGCATACAGGGTGCATAGACCCCAGCCCCAGAGAGGGGTGGTTGAGAAGCCCTAGTGCGGGCACGGCGAGCCCCAGGGAGCGACCCCGGAGAGAGGGCGGTTTGACTGAGAAGGCCCAGTGCAGCCACAGAGAGCCCAAGGAAAGGGGTGGCATTACGGAGAAGGCCCAGAGTGGGCACAGAGAGCCCCAGGGAAGGGGACAGCTTACCGGCGAGCCCCGAGAGAGGGCAGTTTGACTGAGAAGGCCCAGTGCGGCCACGGAGAGCCCCAGGAGAGGGGCGGCATTCTTGGGAAGGCCCAGAGTGGGCACGGAGAGCCCCAGGAGGGGGCGGAAGGCCCGAGAGGCGGGCGTGAGTGTAGATGGAGAGACCGAACAATGTCTGTTCCAACTGCGAGGCTTGGGGCGTGATATAAGGGGTGGTTGGCGCCACGTATAGCCCATAAAGCTAGGGTGCCCCAAAGCACCTATTTGCAGGACAAGACCCATGAGGAGTCTGGGAAACCACGGGGTCAGAATCAACATGGGGAAGTGACTAAGAGGGTGTAAGGCAGCCTCCCAACTTTATCTAAACATTAAAGATGTGGCGGGTGAGAATCAGAGGGTGCCCTTGGGCTGACTTGGCACGGAGGAAGGGGCCTTAAGGAGATCATGGCCCTCCGGTAGGACCCTGCCTGTGACACTTTTACTTAACTCTGGTTTACATGTTTGTTTGTAAAAGAGACAGAAACCAGAGGTATCAGCAGTTTCAGTATTTCTCTTAAAAGAGATGAGCATCAATTAGCTAACTCTGCATGAAGATAAACACAATCGGAGGCAATCCCTGACCTGGAAATTTTATACTTTAAATCGGGGGTGTCAAACTCATCTGGTCCCACTAGGCTGACAAAGGAGTCCTGGTAGTACTCCATCCGGGAATACCAGACAACAGCTTTTGCCTTCCTCTCCAGCAAAGCCACTAACTTCCCAAGAATGGCAAAGGCCGATTCACTTCAGAGGGACCTACCAGAGATAAAGCTGTACATAATCCAAAAACAAAGAAAAGAAAAAGATGGAGGTAGTATCATGACAGAACAATCTGTTATGAAGGAAGTCAGGTCAAGGCCAATAATGACTAATGGATACATGGTCCAATACCCTAACATATTTTGAAACCCTCAACCCAAAAGCTTGATGATGTAACAATAGTGTATTTAGTCTTCAGGTGGACCTTCTCTAGTGATCTAGAAACAGGCGAGTAAGCAGGTCACTCACCCCGCTTCCTGACTTCAAGGTTTCCAGCCAGTTTGTTTTATGTGGGGTAACCTTGTCCCCAAAGTGAACAACCAAACAAGCATGCAAAAAACAAACAAAAACCAAAACCTGCCATCTTCTCTCAGACCTTGAATTTTAGCAATCCTCACTTTACTTCTCCTTCAACACCAAAACCTCTTCTTTTCTTCCCCTTTGCACCCTGCTATTGGAGCACTTAGCCCTCTTCATAACTCCACCCTCAGTACCTGGTCATCAGTTTCAGCTGAGAACTAGCCTCCAGCAGACTCTTAGCAGGGTGCCTCTCCACATTTCTCCATACACTGGCACAGAAACTCCATTTAATATCATGTTTTCTCTCTTGGTTTGTGTGTGACATTCTTTTGCGGTAGGCCCACAGATAGGATATGGGACCTACTCCAATGGGCTACAGGTGTGATCTAGTCTAGCCCAAGCAAGGGCTTGGTGCCACACGGTTTGGAAATTTAGCATCAGATTTCTTGCTCCAGCTCTGCAAATGGGCATAACAGTTTACTTAGGCCATAATTCTCAAGTACCAGGTCAATTTGGGTGCCTTTGCTTTGTGGTGACCCAACCTGAGACATCTTGAGCTTGATGAGAATCTGCACAGAGCAGATCTGAACACCATTTATCTACTGTGTAGCAGCATGTTTTGGGGCAGGGGTCAGCAACTTAGCCAGATTCAGCCTGCAAAAAAATTGGATCTGGTCCACAGTTGCATAGGGAATTGGTGGGATGATGATTTCCTCTGTTACTGTGTACAGAAGCCAACACTTATTTTCACCACTAAAGTTGCCCCTCCCCATTGCCATTTGGGATAGAAGTCTGTAGCACTTGGTCATGTAAGTAAAGAAGGCAGCAGCACATATCCGGGGCACTGTAGTAGGGATTGGTGCCCCACTGTAGCAGTCAGGTTGCAAGCACCAGCCTGCTGTTCATAAAAGGTGGCTGATCCCCGTTTTAGGGCATCAAAGGCATTAGTACTTGCTGTGAGAAGGTGTCCAGGTGTTCTCTATTCACAAGAATAGAGGTGAAAGCTGAAAGTAGTGGCTCTGATGGCTGTCAGGGCTTTCATGAAAAGTACTTTTGTGGGAATGGAATGAAGTTTTGGAAGGAGAACATTGTGCTTCTCATGCTCCTTTCAGCTTGGTTACTCTTGTTGCTCAAGAAGCTACTTCAAATGCAGGTGACTGTTATGAAAAGACTGCTAGTTCCCTAAAGTGAAATAAATGTGTTGGATAGGGGGGTTGAGAAGAGGTAGCCTGGGGTTGTGCTGAACAAGTTCCCTTTCTGTTCAACCAGAATAGCTCAAATTCTAATATTAAATACTAGGGCTGTGCGAAATTTCACCGGCAGTTTCGTTTCGACACTGTTTCGACTCATTTCGAGCTCGAAACAGCAAAATCGAAATGAAACAGAGAGCTTCGAAACAGCCTTGAAATCATAGAATCATAGAAGTAGGGTTGGAAGGGACCTTATAGATCTTCAAGTCCGCCCCCCTGCCTGGGCAGGAGGGAAACTGGGCTCAAGTGACCCCAGCCAGGTAGGCATCGAGCCACTTCTTAAAGACCTCCAGGGTAGGAGCCAGCACCACTTCCCTTGGAAGTTGGTTCCAGATCCTAGCCACCCTAACTCTGAAGTAGTTCTTACGGATGTCTAATCTAAACGTACTCTCCAACAACTTGTGGCCGTTATTCCTTGTTATCCCAGGGGGCACTATGGGAAACAAGGTCTCCCCCAAACTCTTCTGGTCCCCACTAGTGAGTTTATAGATGGTCACAAGGTCTCCCCTTAGCCTTCTCTTGTGAAGGCTGAACAGGTTTAGGTCCTGTAGCCTCATTGTAGGGTCTGCCCTGCTGTCCCTGGATCATGCGGGTGGCCCTCCTCTGGACCCTCTCAATGTTGTCCACATCCCTCTTGAAGTGGGGTGCCTCCTTGGCTCTACTTGAGATGCACCTGTGGATGCATGATAGGGTCTGGTTAGTCCTGCCGACCGTGAGCTCGCATTGTCGGTCCATGTTCATCTTGGAGTCAACGATGACTCCAAGATCTCTTTCTGCCTCCATGCTCTCAAGAAGGGAGTTGCCCATCTTATAAGTGTGTTGCTGGTTACTACTGCCCAAGTGCAGCACCCTGCACTTGTCTGTATTGAAAAGCATCCTGTTTTTGTTAGCCCACCCTTGTAACCTATCCAGGTCTTTCTGCGGTCTTTCCCTCCCTACTAGCGTGCCCACCTCACCCCAAATTTTGGTATCGTCAGCAAATTTGAACAGGTTGCTTTTCACCCCATCGTCCAAATCGCTGATAAAGAAATTGAACAGTGTGGGCCCAAGGACCGAGCCCTGGGGGACTCCGCTGCCCACTTCCCCCCAGGTCGAATATTACCCGTCCACCACCACCCTCTGAGTACGACCCTTCAGCCAATTAGCAATCCATCTGACTGTGTAGGCATCGATGCCACAGTCACCTAGTTTTTTAATGAGGATGGGGTGGTCAACAGTGTCAAAGGCCTTGCTGAAGTCCAGAAAGACTACATCCACGGTGACACCTGCATCCAATGCTTTTATGACCTGATTGTAAAAGGCAATCAGGTTGGTCTGACATGACCTGCCCCTAATGAAACCGTGCTGGTTGCCCCTGAGCATCATCCCCGGCTCATCACAGATGTGCTCCTTGATGATCTTCTCAAAGAGTTTCCCCAGGATTGAGGTAAGACTAACGGGCCTATAGTTGCCCAGGTCCTCCCTTCTCCCTTTCTTAAAGATGGGGACCACATTAGCTATCTTCCAATCATCTGGCACCTGGCCCGAGCACCACGAGCGCTCATAAAGCCGTGCCAAGAGCCCAGCAATAACCCCTGCTATGAAATGAGGCAAGTCAAAACATTTTGAATATTTTGAAATGTTTTGAGTTTTGAAGCTCAAGCTGGGCTTGCCTGCAGGGAAACAGAAACTAAAGTAAGGAGGGGGGGGGAAGGGGAAGCCCTGCACCTATCTCCTTGGTAGCTGGCAGGCTTCATGGCCTTAGCAGGGGCTGGCTGGCATGCCTGCAGCTTTCATCCTGCTTTGCCTTAACACACACACAGTGTCACCCATGTCACAAGTTTTCCTTGTCCACAGCTTGAGGTGCAGTTTCCCCAAAACCTCTGCACCTATCTCCTTGAAACTTAGCAGGCTTTTTGGCCTCAGCAGGGGCTAGCATGCCTGCAGTTTTGACACCACTGTGGTTTAACACGTACACATGATATGAGTTTTGCTTTCAAGATTTTGAGGTTCAGTTTCCCCGAAACCCCTGCACCTACCTCCTTGAAACATGGCAAGCTTCATGCCCTCAGAAGGGGCTACCATTCCTGCAAGTTTCATCCAAATCAGGCCAGAAATGACAGTTATAGGCTGTTTCAAGCTTCCCCATTATAGCCTATGGGCGAACCGTCAAAACAGCGAAACTGTTTCGATGAAACAAAATGGAACAGCAGTTTCGAATCAAAACGAAATTCGAAATGAAATGCTGTTCCGTCGAAACATCGAAATGCAAGTCGAAACAGAATGGTGCCATTTTGCACAGCCCTATTAAATACTTGTAATGAACTCCTTGTGAACACTCTAGAAACCAAGAATTAATCACAGAAATTATATGGTGAGTAATTTTGAACAATTAATAATACGGCTTTTAGAAAATCACAGTCTATTTACAGACAAAATGAAGGCAGAAAGAAACAAAATGTGTAGAATAAATTAATCCACTTTTTCCACTTCTAATTTCAGTACAATATACTCATGTGAGAGATATTGTCATTGTATGCTGCAATGTGTGAAAGTCACAATGTAAATCTGACTTATCCTATCATTGGAATTTATCACAAGGAAGTGGCTATTTAAAAAAGTGAGTGACATATAAATACATATAAATACTTCATCAAAAGCAATGGGTTACTCAAATTAGCCATGTGCATCATTGTCTTAGAAAAGCAGGAATTAGACTAATTATGACTTGTACAGGTTTTCCTCTATGCGGTACATGTATTCCTGGAGAAAGGCGCATAAATTGAATTTGCATAAAGCAAACCCAGTTTACAATGGAACACATGGATATGTTCCCATGGTGGTGAGGGAGGTGTCAGGAGGTGATGTGACTCCACCAGATTGTTGCCACCACATTAAGTGACATGGCTACCCGTGACTGGTATTCGGTGATGCAGTGGTGGAGGAACGTTACCTTAACCTGCACTATCATGCGGCCAGTGCGTGATCGCTAGTAGCCTAACCAATCAGAAGTTGCCCCTAGAGCGTGACTGGCCGGACCAGCATGCTGAGGGCTCCAGAATGTTCCATCAAGGGGGGACCCTGATTGGCTAGGGAGTCTATAAAGGGGACTGCGCGCCTCAGCATAGGGTCCCCAGACGCTCCCGAACTCAGGAAGACAGCCTGATCACCTGTCTTGTCTGGACAGACCCCTAGGCCTCTAGCTAGATTCCTAGCATAGGCTACCACAGCTTATAGCTAGACCACGCGCTATCCGGAACGCCCTGTGTGTTGCCCAACTAGGCATCATACTTGTACTGATAGTATTTTCGGCTGCAGTCAACCTGCACGATTACACCTTGCTTGTTACTCGCCACTACCCACCAGTTGTTCGTTTTTCTACCTGTACCACGTCGTCTGTGTCTACCTGCCACTGTAAATAGTATTCAACTCGTTAATCATCTTGTTGGTTTGTAAGTAAATTTATGAATTTTCTTCACCTACTACTTGTCGCGCTTTTTTCCTCTCTCGCACTTGGCATCCCCGAGCGTGTCTGGGTTGGGGTCACTACTCAGTGCCCCACTCGACATGCAACTGCGGCCGCTTCCCAAGCACTATCCGGGAATCATGGCCCACAGGAGGGAGGGAGGGAGGCTGGGACTAGGAGAAGGGTGTGGCGCAGCCCATCTGCAGCTACCAGGGCTGCAGCTGGCAGCAAAGCGGCGGGAACTGGGAGTGGATGTGGGATGTGGGGTGCGGCTCTTGCTATTATGTGCCCCCTGGGAGGGCTGCAGGCTGGGGGGCTGTGCCGGGCTCTTCCTGGGGGGGTGCAGACCCCTGGATCTGTGCACAGTTCAACAGCAGGCTGCCACTGCAGGCTGGGGCTGGAGCTTGGCAGGCAGGTTGGGAGGGCTACAGTGAATTTTGGGGTGGCAGCAGCCCATTTCCAGTGCCTCCACCTCATTCCTGCAAGCAAAGCTGGGGCCAGTGGCAGCACCTGTCTCTTCCTGGCGCTCCAGGCGGGTGGTGGTAGTGGTGGTACTGGGAGGGGGGCTGCTGCCACCACAAAATTTGCTGTAGCCTCCCAACCTGCCCGCCAGCTGCCCGGTGGTGCCGCCAGCCCTAGCCTGCAGCAGCAGCCTGCTGTTGTCCCACATGGAGATCTGGGGGCCTGCATCCCCCTGGTAAGAGCCCGGTGCAGCCCCACAGCCCTTCTGGGGGGGCGTGTAGCAGTAAGAGCCATGCCCCGCCACATGCTCTACTGAGAACCCTCTCTCCCCTAGGCCTTTTGAATTTTGACCTGAGGACACCAACCACCATGTCATCATCATCTGCACTGCCCTGAAAGCGGACATGAAAGGAAAAGTAGTCCCCGAGACAGCTTGGACCCAACTCATTAAGGGCCTTGAAGACTTTTTCTGAGAAAGTAGGCTGTAGCATAATGGCTCTCTATCTGTCTGACTCTCCTTCCATAAGTCTCCAAGTGCTAGGTACAGCTGAATGTTAAAGTGTATTCAGTGCTATGGGTGCAGACAGAAGTGCAGCTCCCTGCTGTAACTGGGGCTTTGCAGGAAGGTGCTGAGTTACAGCAACCCCCAACCCCGCAACCAAACAGAAGCTCACTCTTGGTTCCAGGGGGAGGGGAATCTAGCTATTAGCTGCCTGCCTGCAGCCAGTTTCCCCTAGCAACAGCCCCTCTTCCCTGGGAGCCTGCCCTGTTTTCAGAAGGGTAGGGGGGAAGGAGCAGAGGGATCTTGTTTTAGGGGTTCTCCGGGCAGTGCTTTGTGGGGACTCCAATTCACGCCCCCCTCCAGTGGGGGCTGAAAAAACCCCAGACTGAACTCCCTCCACGCCCTTTCCCCCCTCCCAATCTGAAAACAGGGACAGGCTGGGAGGTAGCACGGATACAAGTTACAGAAGACTTTCTGTTTTGAAATGTCTTCCTCTGACCCCTCATGCAATGAGGATTCAGATTTTTTTTCTCCACCGGACATTTTTGGAGCAGTCTGCAACCATGTACTTGTGTTTGGTCATGGCTATAAACTACTTTCTGTGGCCAGATCAGGTGAAAATTGTCACTTCTGTCTGCACCCCATTAACACAGGGGCGGGTAATTATTTTGGGCAGAGGGCTGCTTACTGAGTTTTGGCAAGCCATGGAGGGCCGCATGACAGGCAGCCAGGGGCAGATAAGTATTGATTTTCTAAATTTTTTTAGGGGCCCCGCGGACTGGATAGAATGGCCTGGCAGGCCACATTCGGCCTGCGGGCCGCATTTTGCCCACCCCTGCTATAACACATCAGAGTCCTAGTTGTTAGCCATTGTAAGCATACAGGTGCGAGGACTGGGGTGTAGGCAATCTGGCCTAGTAGATAAGCCACAAGGAGAGGGCCAGAGACAGGAGCTAGAGTCCAGGGTACCCAAACCAAGGGGGAAGTCTAGGAGCAGAGTCCAACCTAGAGACCGAGTCAGGGTCCTAGAATCAGAGACCAAGTTACCAAACCCAAGGGGGAAATCCAGGGCAGAGTCAAGCTGCAGGCCAAATCAGGGTTCTGGCATCAGAGACTGAGTTACCAAAGCCAAGTGGCATTTCCAAAAGCAGAGCCAAGCAAGGTCAGAAATCAGAGTTGCTGAGAGCTCAGGACCCAGGGAGGCTTACCACAGCACACCAATGTATCTCTGGCAGGTCTGGCCGGATGAGCAATTAGTCAGGGCTAGGCTACCTGCTTAGAGCCCCTGACAGGAACTGACAGCCATTCTGTGGCACTAAGTGTCATTGTGCTCTAGCAGTTTTCCCACATCCCACAGTTGATGGGTGTCCATCATTAAAGGCACATCTACCCACCTGCCCATCCACCAACCTCACAGTGGATACTGGGGGCAAAGGGTATGCCGAAATGTATGACATGGCTTTCTAGGGAAAGCTGAAACCTGAATCCAACTCCCTGGGAGCATATAAGCAAGGGCTAGGCAGACCCCATTCAGCCACTTGACATCTTCCTCCCCTGCTAGTGTATAATCCTGGGGAAACTCCAGGCCCTTGCCACTGTTAGGGAATGCCCCACTCCAGCCCCCTCATAGCAGTTTAGCAGCATGGCAACGCCTGAAAATAACCATTCTTCTTGGAAGCCTTGGCAATGTAAGTGTGGACCCCCCTGAATCATGACAATTGTGAACTTGTTCCCAATCAGTGATGCTCTTGGAACAGTTCAGTTGTTGTGTGTGCCAGACTTTCTGTTTCCACTCCAGCAACGACTCCCTTCCCTTGCTCTCCAGCCCCCTGTATTGCAGCATTAGAGTGACATTGATTTCTTTGTACCCCTGTGACACCTGTGAGTCCAGGGGCCTCTTCAAATCGTCTGCAATTTAGACAGGCCACATTTGTGATGAATAAAATGTATAGGACTGTTGCACAGCACAGAAAATATTTTCACAGCTAGATGGCAACAAAAGAATTCTGTTGGCTTTTCTTTGGTAGAGAGAATGATGCTGCTCTGTGAGTGTTAGGAGCACCTACCCCCACTTAATGTCAGACAGATTCTAATTCAATTTAAATATCTGCAAGCGCAGTAACAAAACACTGCATAACTGGTACAAATTAAAGATAGAAATGCATTATATTTTCCTAACGATGCAGTTTTTAATTCAGATTTATATCCACCCTGGCATTGTGCCTAGATTCAATCATATGACATGAAGAACCTTTTCTGGAGACAGCATAGAAGCTACGTTATCTTCCAGGTAGACTAACAGCATTCTACATGCATCTGGAGGCTACTTTCTATGGAGGTTAAGGAATATTATTTTCATTTTCTACTGTTTTGAGAGAGAGGGAATTCACCTCTAGGAACACAGAACTGGAAGGGACCTCCTCAGGAGGTCAGACTCTAGTCTCTACTACCACAGGTCACCATGTCATATAATCCCTCTGAAAGGCTTGAGTGGCAGGTCTATTGCTTCATATAACAGGCTGAACTACAGCATAAGTCAACACTGACGCCCCCCACCCCTTTTACAGATGGAAAGTGAAATGGAAAGCCTGACTATACTTAAAAATATGTTGCATTTGACAATACACAGGAACTCAGACTTAGTTCTCATTCTCCCCCTCCACAGCTAGTGTTGATTTTGCTTGTCCTGCTGGTAGGGATGATGGCACTGTTGTATAGAAATATGTCACAAACTAGGGCTGACCTCACCCTGTGGGATGTTAGAGGTGCAAATAAATATTCTAGAGTTTCTTTTACCCATTTTTAGTCTTTATTTCAGGAAACTAATATGGCAAACAAGTGGCCCAGTCTATAACTGTTTCAGATGCACGCAGAATCTACAGCGGTGTCACCAATTCATTCATCCCCATGTCACAAAAATCTCAAGGTAAGTAATTCCATTTCTTACAACTGCTGGTTCTAAAAGGAAAAACATTTCAGCATAGATTTAAAATGACAATTTTACTTGATAAAAATTCTAAATTCTTTTTCAGTTTTGCTTGTGCACATCAGAATTTGACTCCATAGCATGTTCAGGTGCGACAAGGGCAAAACTGACCCTTGGCAGATGCAGTGGGAATGGTTTCCATCACCACCAGGGCTGAGGCTGTTCCAAAATCATTGTTTTTTACTTAGGATCGCAATATACAAGAAGTGGCTCCGATTTTTGCTGCCTCACATGCAGCCATTTTCTGAGCTGCTTCTCTGGATGCTAGGCCATGCTGAAGCATTTTGAACTGTTGTGCCCGACTCTCTTCCAGCACTTTCCAGTGGTTCTCTTGCAGAAAGCCCTGAAGAAGAGAACGACAAAGTATTGTAGTTCAGTTGAGAGTGACACTAACAACATTACTTCAGTACAACAATCTGCAGGTACAAATTCTACTGGGTATCACAATTGGCATAAGCGCAGCAACTTCATAGTATCATAGTATCTAGGGTCAGGAGGGACCTGAACAGATCATCTAGCCTGACCCCATGCCACAGGCAGGAATGAATGCTGGGTTCACAAGACCCCAGACAGGTGATCATCCAACCTCCTCTTGAATTTGCCCAAGGTAGGGGCGAGGACCACTTCCCTGGGAAGTTGGTTCCAGATTTTGGCCACCCTAACTGTAAAATATTGCCTTCTGATCTCTAACCTAAACCTATTCTCCATCAGCTTATGCCCATTGTTCCTTGTCACCCCAGGTGGTGCTGGGGAGAAAAGGGCTCTGCCTATTTGCTGTTGATCTCCCCTGATGAATTTGTAGGCAGCCACCAGGTCCCCCCTCAGCCTCCTCTTGCTGAGGCTCAACAGGTTCAGGTCCTTCAGTCTCTCCTCGTAGGGCCTGTCCTGCTGCCCTCTCACCAAGC